CCCAAATATAAAGGAGATCGATGTGATCTATCTATGTGAGCCTCCCATGAATCCCCAAGCTAACAGTGGGGATCAAGGGACGACAGATATTTAACAGTCTGATCTAGGTGAGCCACCCACGGATCCCCATAATATTCATGGGATCAAAGGGCCAAGGAACGATTGGGATTTTAACATCATTACCACATTACTTGATATAAAAAATCAAATTGAAATAATGTCCCTTTCCTAATTATTTAAAGACTTAAACTAATCACAAATCTAAATTTAAATATTCCAACTTTGACATTAGAAAACAATTAATCATTGATCTAACCTTAAATATTATGATTTTTAATATGATTATTAAATATTCTAATATTTGATGAAGAATTAAACTAATTAAAATTTTAATTTAATTTCATAAATTCAAATTTTTATTTTGCATTGTGAAAAACATCAAAAATTTTCTTAATTTTATCATTGTTTAAATCATTTTTATGGTAATAAAAAACAGCACCGTGAAAAAAGAGAATAAAATTTATTCACTTTTTAATTACTATAGTACTAATTCTTTAAACTATTATATAATAATTTCACTATGGCATATATTGCATGGGTTATTTTCTTGTTTCTTATAACTGCCTAAGAGCATTGCTCCTTTTTCTTGAGTTATCGGCCCATACAACGGATGAAGATCAGGACAGTGGTAAACAAAAACATCGCATTTTGGTAGAAAAATGATGAACCGACTAATTTGATTGATAGAGAATCAGGAAATTTCCTAATCAAGAGAGCTATTTAGAAAGGTTGTTAATCAAAGGGGAATTGTTTAGGAATGTTTTAATTACAATTGAGAATGAATTATTTATGGCAAGAGATCTAATTTGAATTCAAAATTTAAGAGGGAATTATTTAGGTAAGAGGAGGATGAATTAAGGGGGAGGGAAATAAATCAAATTTGAATTCAAATTTGAGAGAGAATTTTTTTAGGAAAAGGGGGCTGATTTGGGAGGGAGTTATGAGAGCCTATTTAAAACTAACAATATGATTATTTCAGGATTATGTTTGGAGTTTGCCGAAATTAGAATTTCTTAGGTTGTTAGTGCTCTAGCCACCGGCTAGTGATTTGGGAGAGCAGGATCTTCCTCCAATTGAAGATCCAATTGTATATTGTTGTTTTCTTTCATATATCTCGCAATGAAAAGAGCTTAGTGTGTTCTTCCTTAAAATTTTGTGTCGTTTGATTTTGCTGAAATTGCATCCACTTCCTATCAAATTGGCATCAGAGCACAATCCGGGTACCTATCGCGGGAAGAAATGTATAAATGTTAGAATGGGAGATCAAACAATTGAAATCTAATTTGTAAAGATTTCATATTTCAAAAAGCAAATTTTAGCCATCCATGAGAAGATTGATGGGAAGTTTGCCACCATGAAGGAGATGATTTGGAAGCGGCTCGAGTTCCAAACCAAAATGGTGTCATCAAAGGCCATCACCGGCTGAGGAAGTGGGGAAGAAGAGGGGAAAATCAGAAGGTGGAAATATTGGGGGGAAAAGAGGAAACACCTCATTTGGATCAACTTCCATGGAGACTAGGATTTTTGGTGGAGGTACAAAGTTTGGAAGGAAAAAAGATGGGGAGAAGATAGAAGCGGCAGACATGGTTTAGCCACCCCTACAGCAGTATCGAGGGGTGTTCCAGCCAATTCAGAGGTCGCCTCCTCCGCAGGAAAGCGAGCATGCTATCATCATGAAAGGAGTCTCACTTATCAGTATTCATCTTCATCGTCATCCCCAAATCCAAAACGAATAGATTGAGATATTAGTCAAGGAGATGCTCGAGGCAGGGATAGTTCGACCTAGCGTCAGACTATTTTTCAGTCCAGTGCTATTAGGCAAGTGCTTCAATAGCAGTTTACTTCGTTCCACCTTGAGGACAAGGTGGGACTTTAGGAGGAGAGTATTGATGGACCAGATGATTTGATTGATAGAGAATTAGGAAATTTTCTAATCAAGAGGGAGCTGTTTAGTAAGGTTCTTAATCAAAGGGGTATTGTTTAGGAATATATTAATTACAATTAAGAAGGAATTATTTAAGGCCTGAAATCTAATTTGAATTCAAAATCTAAGAAGAGGAGGAATTAAGGAGAATTATTTAGGAAAGTCTTAATTATAATTGGGAGGAAATTAATTTGGGAAATAAATCTAATTTGAATTCAAATTTTGAGAGAGAATTATTTAGGAAATTGGGGCTCATTTGGGAGGGAATTATGGGAGCCTATTTAAGGCTAACAATAAGAAGATTTCAGGATTATGTTTGGAGTTTGTTGAAATTAGAATTTCTTAAGTTGTGAGGGTTTTAACCGTCAGCTAAGGATTTGGGAGAGTTGAATCTTCCTCTCTAATTGAAGATCCAACTGTATCTTGTTTTCTTTCATATATCTTGTAATAAAAAGAGTTTGGTGTGTTCTTCCAAAATTTTTTGTGTCGTTTAATTTTGTTGAAATTGCATCCACTTCCTATCAAAAAAAGACCATGAAACTATAAGCAATGGCAACTTACACACTTCAATGAGTTTCCACTCCCCTTGTAATAATAAGCAACTAGAAAATTGAATACAAAATTGTTACTTACATAAAAAATTGAAACCAAAGGGCTAATGCGGTCCCTTATTTTTCAATGCCATGTCCCACAAAGCTAACCAAGAGTGCTCGAGTTGTATATATGGGACAATTGTCTCGTGTTTTAAGGAATGATTGAAGAAATAATAGAAAAATAGTAGTCCAGCGTATGCATAGAAAGATTGAATCTAGTTGCAACTAATGTTTAAAATTGTGCAATTGTGTATTGATGCTTTTTTTTCGTGATGCATGTAAAATGGCAAGTGATAAATTGTATGGAATATAATTTAAATACAAATATCACAAGAGCAAAAAAATATTAAAAATAGAAACTATATAAAAGTAGTATATAACATTAAGTTTAAATACAAATTCTTTCTTTCTCAGTTTCCAACTCATCCATATTTAATTTCTAAAAAAGTTGAAATAGTTGGCAACAACTAAAAAAGCATATGTACTGTCATGACTAAGAGAGTCTTTATTTGAGTTGTCATTATAACAAATTAGTCTCTTCCCTGTCTCATACCGTGGAATCCAATACCTCCCAATATGCTTCTTCTTCATTTATTTCAATCATCTTCCTCCATAAATATTTTTCATCAACAAAAGCTTGGATCACTTTCTTGGGCTGCTTGTGAAGCCTCCAAAAGAAGTTTAGGCAAACAATAAGAGCTAATGTGGTGGAGGTTTGAGGGCTTTGCATGAAGTTGATCAAATTTGACTATGGAAAGGCATTTTAGTAATTTTGACCATGTTGATTAGTCAATATGATCAAGCCACCAAAGATGAACTGTTGGGAGCTCCTAAAGGCTATTTGTATAAGTCTTAGTTGACTTGATTGCATAGGTGTGGAGTTGGAATTTGGGTAGAATGTATGTGAGATATTTGAACAATTTAGGTGAGTTGATTGAGTCAACTCACCATAAATTGACTTACATTGAACTTGAGTCACTCAAGGCATGAATTAGAGTGTACTTGAGTGGTTTAGGTTTTGGTTTGATTGTAATCAAGGGTTTGGCTTTGTTTTTGAGTTTTTAGATGATGCAGCAAACCTTACTCAAAAATGAGGTCAACACTTGCATGGGGTATTTTTTAGTTTTACTTTACTGGTTGCATTACATGTCCATCCTAGCATTTCCATTTCTGCTGAATTAAGTGATGCTTCTTTTTCATATCTCATATCTGGTTTTGTGGCAATTTTGCAGATGATTTTCCTTTTAAGTTACCATGGTTCCATTGTACGACAAAGTAAGATCTTTAAATTTCAGAGATCCAGCATAGTTACTAGTTACACCCTTTACTAAGTTGTTACGATTTGTATAATAGATTCGTGATACAGGAACCAATTGCGCTAATGTAACACTCAGTTTTCAATCATCACCGTCATTGTCAATTTCTAATTACTGAATATTCATGAGCCTTGACGTTTTTTTCTATGACTGCCTTCGTATCTGTGAAAGTCTTATCCATTTCTCTAACTTTGTCATGCTAAACGTCTAGAGTCAATAAAATACAGATAATATAACATGGTACTGGGAGGGTCCTATCATAATTAATTGTCTTAGTGTAATTGTGGAAAATGTATTAACCGTCTGACTGTTCTTTCCCGCCTCGTTAGTTCGAGTATTCGGGCCGCGTCATGACATGTCATCATTAAGGCGAGTTCCTTAGTGTAAGATACTAGGCGCTGAAATGCTCATGTGCACTCATGTGTTGTATTTTTTAAGCATACACAATCATAGTATAAGATGGATGGTTAAAAATTTAATGATAGAAAAGAGAGTACGGATGATGTGAAGATAACAGTAGCATATACTAAACTAACCTTATGGTAATGAAGCTAATAGCTTAAGATTTTATATGTTCATTTAAACTGAAAATATAACTTTTGAGCCTAGTGGATATTTTGTTTTACCTGAACTATTTTGAAAATTTATGTTTTTTTGATATTTAAAATGACATAAAACTTGATAATGTATTTTTTTTATTATTATACCTTGAAATTTTATTATAATAATTATCATATTATGCTTGCCAGAAATATTCCTTATAATTAATTAAATAAATTATTTTACGGGTCACTCAAGCAAGCTCCTAGTGCCTCGGGCATTAGACAGTTGCGTTGTTTAAAGGACACCTAGCATCTTTAATAATGTTTCCTTAGATTAGACTTCATACACCACATTGCTTACTTACGAAATAATGCACCAAAAGTAGCAACCATGAAGAGCAGTCAGAAGCAAGGCATGACATATATCAGAAATAATAGTTGTGAGCTTATAGCATTACATGTTGTGCCAATATTTCATTGTCTACTCATGCCAAATAACGTAAAAATAAACTTAAAAAATCCTGATATGCATTACAGCATTGATCATGTACAAAGACAGCCAAACCTTGAATATTGAGGCCAATGCTTCCACAATGCCAAGTATTCTGAACTGGTTGATATTATCTTCAGTCCAAGATACCATAAATTCAAACGTCCATTCAATGAATCTGAAGATGGGCAATAAAGACTTCATAAATAAATCAAGCACATAATTTATTGATTTACACCATTTTATAAGAATATGGTAATTAAACTTTTATCTAGACGAAAAGCATCTTCAAATAATGACTCAGTAAATGCAATCAAAATAGTTGCCTCGCCAAAATGGCCCAGCATATTTAAACAAGAAATTTAGTCATAGCTTTTTGCAGTCCTAGTTTACTAATTAACAATTTGATGCAAATATGAAAGCCTATATTCATCCAAAATATAAATTGTGTGATAATATGAGCACACGGTTAGAGTGTTGAATTTCTTTAGTTGTTTCCATACTTCTGATTTTAGTTTAGTGTAAACATGCATAGAGTATTGATCTTATTAAGAATGGGTTGTGTATTCTGAAGTTGGTGCTCGTTAGGTTTAGTATCTTGTGTTGCTGGTTCAGTTTGGTATTAACGTAACGTCTGTAGGTTTTTTATGGTAAAAGTAACAAAATGGTTGATGTTTCCTTAGGATGACAGTAAAAGGGTTAATGTGGGTGATAATAGAAAGTGCATTCAAGGCTCAAACAGATTTGGTGCTAAAACTGATAATCTATTAAAGGCAATTTTTTCTTGGAGGAAATAGGTAAGGAACTCCAGATTAAATGTCTAAGATATTAGGCAAATAATGTGGGTTGTTTTTATGAATTTTGGATCCATAATTAAAGAGTTGCAATATTACTACTCATAGTAAAAAATTGCCTCTCTATATTGAGCTTTTAGCAATGATATCTTCGAGTTATTAGGGATTTTAGATCTTAGGAGGTCATAAGGAAAGTTGGGAAATATTTAAGGGGGTTTTGAAAAAGTTGGATGTATTTTGGAGTTGACAGAAACAAATATTAAGATTATATAGAGAATCTGAGAATTGTGTTGGGAAAGATGAAGAATCAAGATGGAGAAAGATAAATTAGGACTCAAGAAAGCTCTAAAGGATCTATGATGCACCGACACTTCTCCTCAAAGAGGCGTGCAGTCTCTGACAAGTATCCGACACGACACTCGTCCGACACTCCTCTGACACGTGCCGACATGCCGAAAACGTTCTCTTAACATTGACGCCCAATATTTACTACATAACATCAATGCCCGACTCTCTACAACATTGTCATCTCCTCTCTCGATGAATGATAAACGACATCAATGCCAGACTTTCGACATTATAATATTAATCATTTTAAGCACAAATTCTAATTAAATGATTTATTATTTTAAAAATTATAATTATTCAATTTTTTATACACTATTTTTAAAATATAAAAGCTATACTACCGTGTCCAACCCATGTCCGTCTCTTATAATTTCAATAATTGACATGTCCCGTGTCCATGCCGTGTCGTATACGTGTCGTCGTGTCCGTGTCTGTGCATCATAGCAATAGATATAAAGGATGTCCAAATCATAAAATGCTTGAAAAACCTTACTAGACCAAACTAATGCCAAACCAAACTAAAAATGATAATCTTATAAATTCAAAACAAAGAAAATAGAACCCATAGATAATTTGCTAACAAAGCACCACAAGTCATTCCTAATTTGGTGACATCGGCTTGATATGGTGACTAGTAATGCTAAATTAAATAAGAACATTAATGCAGAAAATGCATTTTTGGCCCAAGATGTTATACTAACAAACGATGCAGCAGGGATTATGACGGCCAACATTGGATCTTGATTAAGATGACAATGTATAGGCACTGAGTTAGCAAGGAATTTTTGCTTCATAAAGAGGAGTGATTAAAGCTATCCGCTAACCATCATATTTATGATTAGGTGTTTTGCTTGGCTTATTAAATTACTCAGAAAGGCGGGTTAGGCTGTGGGATCATTATAAACCTCAGCGAGACTAATTAGCATATGATATCTCCATATTGTATAAACTCAGATGGAAATTCATTGGTGAAGCCACTTACTCTTATTTGATGGTTACACTGTCCCTCCAATGCGTAGAGCATGCAAATGAAAAGTACGGAAGGAATTTCATGATGCTGGCATAGCAGACCTGCCAGTAAAGTCCTCGTATCGTTATCTTGGACAAAAAACCCGAATACATTTTTGTGGTACCAGTTGGGGAGGGATTCTTAATCTCATGATAGTTTAATGTGCTCATTAGTATCTGACATGGACAAATGAGTAATCCAACGAATATTAGGCTGGCATCCTCCACAAGTCTCATTGCTGAAAGTAAACTTCAAGAGGACACAAGATGATTTAAAGGTGAAGCAAATGATTCCCACCCTATACCCAAAATGCACACCTTTGGCATGAAGTAGGTGAAATTCTTGGACTGCTCATCATTTTGAAGCACAGCATTGGAAAATCATAGTAGCATATTTGCCAGCCACTTTGCACTCCAATGCTTCCATATGCAGCTAAACTTGTTTTTGTTAGGATGAGTACATGCAATTGTAGCATAAACTTTAAAAAATTTTATGATCAACCTAAATTGCTGCAATTTAAGAGCGGTTTTCAACTTAAATCTATAACACATTCACACACAATCCTCTCCAGTTCACTCGACCTAGTAACTGACCTCATGTCTATCATGTTACCTCATTCTCCTGGCAAGGTGACTAATATGCATAATATTATAAGCCTCCATTTTTTTGCATTAATATATTATCTATGAAGTATTATCAAAAGATAACACAAGGTTGCATTACATATCAGTCATTGTTTTGAAAATCAGATCGGACCGGACCGGTTCAACTGATAATCGGTTGACTAGCCGGTCTGGGCTGTTTTGAAAACTGGTTTCAAATTGAATCATGAAAAACTGGCTCGAACCAGCGGCTCAATCAAAGAGCCGCTGAATCGGTCCCGACTTCTTAGAGCCAAAATAAATTAATTTAATACATTTAATATAAAATTTTAAATTTATGAAATTAATTTAAATTTAATATAATTTAATTTTAAAATAAACAGTAAAATTTTATAATAATCATTTGCCAAATAAGTAGCAACCAATCATTTTTGCATGGCCCTCCATCCCATATGACTTCCTTACTCATGTAAACCAAAAAGCTATACAAACAATACTAAGATAAAATGCTCAAGTGATGTTGAACTAAATAACTAAAATAAAATTCTCAAATTCACAACACAAACACTATGTATTTTTAAGCATATTTCTTTCATAAAGAGACAAGGGATCATTTTGGCCATTTTCTCTATTAAATTTATAAATTTATATGTGAGTTAAATTTATAAATTAAATATGTTCAATTTTAAATTATAAAATCTATTATTGGTATATAAATTAATTTATTTTTAATTATAAATTTACATTATTTCATAATTATTACATCATTAATATATCATTTAGATATCATTTTAAAAAAATTAATATTTATTACATCATCCGATTCAACCCCGATTGAACCCAGGTCAAACCATTGAACCTTGAACTTTAAACATCTCCTTCTTTCGGTTCTACGTCCAGTTCAATTTTCAGAACTTTGATACTAGTAACTTATCAAATTTGCAATTTCCAAAAGCAAATCTCCCTCTTGCTTTGCTATGAACTTTCCTATTTCAAACCATTGGTTTATCCAGTCAACAAAACCAACTAGTTGCACAATTAACATTCTACTCTGCATATGTGGTTTAAATAATGAAAAATGAAAAAATAATCGGTCAAGCATGCCATAACCTTCTGCAAATGGATACAATGTTTTAAAGGCATGGGTCGTTTAGAAAAGAAAAGTAAATAAATAATCAATAGATGAAGACTAATCAAGCTAGGGCAGTGAATGAACATGATAAAGGTGTGCTTTTTACATGCACTACGAAAGAAAATGTTTGAAACATACTCAAAATTGCTTATCCTTTTTTATAAATTGCTTGTACTTGAATATGCATTACTTTCAAGGAAAAAGTGATCTGATCCTAAGCAAGATATGTAAGGTGGCAACTGTAGCAGCTTCTATGGATAATACTGCTGAATAATTTCATGGACTGCAATAGCAGAAAGTTCAAACACAGTGGAAATTAGTGCGTATGACATTGAGTTCTACCTGATCATTCTCTCAAGGTTTAGTTCTACCAGTTCATTCTCTCAAGGTTTAGAAATCATTTCCATATTCTAAGAAACTTGTCACGTCCATGGGTGCCTTGGTAAAGCCACTCAAAGCATATCCATTCAGCTGAAGAATAATTCAAGCAGGATTGTTTTATTGGGCAGATCAAGCAGGGTTGTTGTAGACAATACAAGTGCAATGTCAAGCTGAACACATTTAGGCTTTGTAAGATTTGAAGGAGAAGTTGGAAGCAGATGAAACTACAGCTCGGACCATCACTATTTCAATTGCAAGTATGTAAAATCTTGATAAAATAATACACTAAAATATAAATAAATAATAACTCAACCTTAAAAAATCCATTGACATGTCTGGACGGGTTAGAAGCCTTGATAGTACAAGTCCTGAGAACCTCCGCATAGGACCAGAACTTGATAGGTGATCCTTTGAAATTTCAAGTATTTTGATTACCAATGGTGATGGCTCAAGTCCCCCCAATTGATTACTGTTTGCAATACTAGTGTCTACAGAGGAGATATCAAAAGGAATCAAAACAAGAATGTAAAGCCATAAGAGAGTTACACATTTTGTCTCCATTTCTCCAGTACTTTCATGTCTTAAAGATGTAAGTGAATTTCCTACATGGCATTTCTCCAGAAGAGTGACAGCAATCTCAAAATCAGAAACTTGATGTGGAAAGAATCGAATAACACTCTTGTACCCACAAACGGTAACCAGAGAATATATAATAATGCATATAGGCTTTATGATATCAAGAACATCATCAGTGTCGACCCTCAGCTGCATTGATTTCGAATGCACTAAGGACATTAAAGGGTTTACAATGCTCTCCAAGTAAGGCTCCAGCAGCTGACCCTGCTCTTGATACTTGTCAATCTGTTAATACAGAAAAATAGATTTCCTCCACCAATAAGGAAGATAGAAATTTATCTCACAGTATTGCATGAAGAAAACTCCACATCACAATGTAAGAATTCTTATAGCTGATCGACATCAACTTTTAAAACAATAAAAAGAGAAAATAGGAGGCTTCCTAGTCCCTTGGATACAATACAGACAGCCATATTTAAAGGAATTTTTTTGATAAACAGATGGCCTGCATGTCCATGCTTGCTACGTAGTTATGACCAAAATGATAATATAATCAGGCACCAGTGATCGTTATTTTTCAAGCATATAAGCACAAAACTCTTAATTAATGAGACTTCATCAATAGTCCAATTACTTCGAGCAGAATAACTATTTGAGTGTATAGCATAAAGAGAATAAACTAGTCAAGTTAAATTAACGTCCTACTTTCACTAGATTATTAGACAAAGAAAACCTTTGCTTGAGAAATAAAGGAATTCTTTTTAATGATAGAGTTTTCTGAAAAATGATGCAAATCAGATCAGTATCACATAGTTTATCTTCCCAAGTTGTCATGGTCCCTAGTCTACTTAGGACTGCCCAGATTTTCAGGATACCTACTCCCTCTTGACCTCTGGAGGAGAACGTACGATAGATGATTTCTTAATAGACGAGGGGTGCCTTTTCAAAGCTCAGAAACTCTGTGTTCCCCAAACCTCCCTTCGTGAATATCTCGTATGGGAGTTACATGCTGGAGGTTTGGCTGGCCACTTTGGGCAGGCAAAGACTATTGCTGCTCTAGAAAACCATTTTTATTGGCCCAGCCTCAAACGCGATGTCAGTAAGCTCTTAAAGCGATGTCATATCTGCCAGCTGGCCAAACAACGAAAGCAAAACACGGGACTCTACTCTCCACTCCCCGCACCTTGCCTCCCGTGGAAAGACGTGAGTATGAACTTCATCTTGGGTTTACCCAAAACCACTAGGAAACATGATTCTGTCTTTGTGGTCGTTGATCGATTTTCTAAAATGGCTCACTTCCTCCCATGCTCCAAAACATTCGATGCTTCCAGAATCGCGAAGCTTTACTTCGAAGAAATAGTTAGACTCCGCGGCCTTCCGAAAACAATCATGTCCGATAGGGATGTTAAGTTCACTAGCTACTTTTGGAAGACCCTTTGGCATAAAATGGGGACAAAGCTCCAGTTTTCTACAGCATTTCACCCCCAAACCGATGGCCAAACTGAGGTCGTCAATAGGATTTTAGGAAATCTTTTAAGGACTTTGGTAGGAGAGAACATTAGGGATTGGGACTCAAAACTTCCTGTGGCAGAATTTGCTTACAACAACTCTATCAACCGAACCACTGGCCTTAGTCCTGCTGAAATTGTGTACGGATATCAGCCTACACAGCCCATTGGCCTAGTCCCCATGAGTCTTAGGAATAGAACATCTGAGTCTGCATTTGCATTCGCATCTCAGCTGCATGAGTTACACAATGAAATTAAAAAGAAAATTGAACAAAGCAATACTGATTATAAAATTCATACTAATAAGAAAAGGAGGTTTAAAGAATTCAAAGTGGGAGACTTTGTGATGGTATGTATCCGCCCGGAGCGTTTTCCTCCTGGTTCCGTAAAGAAGTTACATGCAAGAAGCGCTGGACCATTTAAAATAATATCAAAGGTTAACAATAATGTTTATGTGCTAGAACTCCCGGAAGGGTTTAATATGAATCCGACTTTTAATATAGAGGATATAGTAGCCTTTGAGGGTCCTGATTTTAACCCCAACAATCCACTTTACAACGAGCCTTGTGAGACCCCACCTAGTGAGATCCCTAGCCTTCCTCCACTCCCCAATTTACCCCATTTACCTAGAGCGGAAAAGATCGAAACCATTCTGGATGATGAGATTATTTCCACAAAGGATGGAGGGCGCCAGAGATACTTAGTTCATTGGGAAGGAACACCGGAGACAGAGGACACGTGAATTGACCGAGAGGAGCTACAGAGACTGGACCCAGACCTTCTTGAGTTATATGAGAGCCTCCATAGCATGCACTCGACGGGGTCGAGTTCTCTCCCACCCGGGGAGAATGATGGGGGCATCGACAGGAGATTCTGGCGCGTCTATAAGAGGCAACACCGGAGATCGACGGCTATGATGGATAGTCTTTATTACCGATGACTTGTTGTATCTGCAGTTCTTACACTACTTATTGTTTTTCCAGTTTTTCCCATTTTACCCTTGTGGGTATTAGTTTGATCTTGTAGCCCCAGGAGCATTTTAAACTTTTGCATTTACTTTCATTTGAAGCCTATTTATATGGCCCCTTGTATCATGTATGAGCTATTGAATGATTGAATGAAAATTTGTTTTTGTGTTCTCTTTGTGAGTGTCACTCTTTGGATCTCTTTGTGAGTTCTTTTAGAGATCTCTTAGTGAGTTCTCGAGGTCGTTACATGCAACCTTCATCTTCTCTACCCAAATCTCCCGCAAGATCAGTATCACATAGTTTATCTTCCCAAGTTGTCATGGTCCCTAGTCTACTTAGTCAAAAGAGATTGTTGATCCAACCTGACCAAAGAATCCATTTCGATAACCATGGATTTTTTCATCCAAGAGTATCTTATAGACCTAGAGTGGATGTTTATCTATGGGGATAAATTCAAGTTGACCTTAGCTAACAAAGGGCTTTGTGTCCAATCAAGCGTACCCTATGATTCATTATTCAAAAGTGTTAACCATTAGAGAGTATACAGGCTCTGGCCGTGACTGTAATATAATAATATCTATCTAAGTAAATCCAACTGGTTAAAAAGCCACAGCCATAACTGTAAATTTGATGTCATTTTACATCAAAACTGTTGGTAACACACTAACACGTACCATGTGCTTACTAATGGAATATTATTTAAGAAAAATCTTAATGATCTTCTCAGCAAGACATTATCTTCTCGAGGCAATACGCTTAAATTTGAAAGTTAAATTTTTACGTATACTCTTTTTTTTAAAATATTCATATTTGCTTATTTTGCATGAGTGCTTGTCATTGAAATACACAAAAAACTTTATATTTTTTAATTTTAAAATACATCTT